TCCGACTAATTTAGAATTGAATCGCATCAGAACCCATTAAAAAATTATATTTTAACGTTTGTTTCTCCATTTACAAGATTTAAATTCGAAATATTTTTAAAGAAAATCAAATTTCTTCCACTCGAACTAATAAATGTTGATTATTTAAATATCTCTATTAAATAAAATTAATTGAAAATATTTTAATATTTTCATAACTCAAATTACATTTTTCTTTTGCATAGTCCGAACCAAACGCACCTTCCTCAAAGGAAAATAAAATTATAACATCGGAGGGTTATTCCAAAACACTGGCCAGCACAATTCATGGGATGTTTTCTATGTTCGTATCTGATTCACATTTGACTCCAAATTTGCATATCAAACTTTCCCTGAATCTCTGGCCTAGAGAAAAAAAAAAAAAAAATCTTGGAATCCAATCACGAGCTGTTTGGTCTTTGTAATCTGTTATACATGACAGATTTCGTCTTGAGATTTTCTTTTACTAGAATATTTGTCGTCCTGCTTCAATTCTCCTCTTTCTTTGTCTGAGATTCTGAGCTTGTTTTTTGGACATTATCTTTAATTTTTTTAATGACATAATAAAATCTGATGATATGAAAGCTTTGATTCTGAAATATATTCTCCTTTCATATCATATCTTCTCTTCTTTTTTTTTTTTCTCCTATGTTTTTTTACCTTTTTATGTTGTAATGAGTTTGAATCTTTAGTGCGTAAAAAAATAAGATTAAATGTCTTTATTAAAAGTTTCGTATTTAAATTTGACACAAAGTAAGAATTATATAACTAGGTTAAACTTAAAAGAAATTGGGTGGGACTTCTCTTACACATACTTTGGCTGTACCCACCCAAAATGATGTGAGACCAAAGTTTATTGAGATGCAATTGTGGGTTCCACTCATTTTTTATGGAAACAACCTATTACAGTTGCAGATGCCTCTTTCAAAAAGTTTTATGCAATAGAATTGTGAATTTAGAGCTTAGCCTTAGAACTTTTGTAGAAAAGTTCTACATAATTAATAGAAATTGTGCTAATAGTTTTAAGTGAAGTAAGCATTAAAATCATAAAGTCACCAATAAAAAGGTGTTACATAGTTTAAACTATATAATTTAAATTACTAAAAAAAAATGTACTCTTAATAGTGAAGGTTATCCTCCAGTAATTCATGCATTCAAAACTGCAAAACTAGAAAAATGAGACTTATCCACTGGAATCAAAACTAAAGCAAGAAAAAGTTACCCATTGAAAGGTGAAAGGGGAAGTAAAGCCTTGGACGGTGTAAAGGATACATAATAAGAGGGTTGACTGTTAGGAAGTAGAGATAATATATTATACCTTCTTTTTTTTTTTTTTAAAGAAAATTAGATAAAGTGAAAAGGTGAAATTGATATTTGGCATTATGACTGCTGGATACTAATCACTGTTAGATGTCAACTAACAAAGATTTTGGAGCCATTTTGGCTTTTGGTAAAGAAAAGGGAGTTTAACCCATGTGATTGTGGGGTTAGTGCAATCAAATTATGTTAATAAATTAGGAGGACAGTACAAAGAGGCCAGTTGGACAGCAATCAGTTCTGACAATATTTTCTCTTTAGTAATTTCTTTTAGGGAGTTTTTATTTTCTCTTCATGATGTATCCAATTTTAGGGTTAGGATTTTAAGGAATGTAATTTGGACTCATGCAATGCTTAAGCTGTAATTCATCTTTCACATTTTCTTCGCCATTTCAGAGGCGAAAGTGATCACAATTTTGGTTTTAGTAAGGACCAATTGTGGACCAATCAATTAAAGGGGCAAATGATAGAAAGCCCATTATATTTTAAAGATTTTGAAGATTTCTGCTCTGGGGCCATGGCCCCCCTATGCCCAAGTTATGTTTTTTCCATGCAATCACTAAGAATTCACATAAATTGACATGTATACAACTTTACCCTTGATGATGTGAGTATGAAATTGTTATTGACCAGTTATATTATTCTGGCAATATAACAATTGCACAAAAGACCATCTATAAGGTCCACAATTTTTTTTATAGCAGAAACTTAATATCCTAAATTAGTTTGCAATCATTAAATTTTATCTACCCTACATAAGTAATGTTGTAAATTCAGACCATACACAGACAAAAAAAACTTTAAAAAATTACCTCATTTTATGAATTCTATCTAGATTCTAATCTGATTGGTGGCATGGGTAAACTTTCTTTGAGCAAAACAACCTTTGGAATGTCTGGAGAGTCTGAGGCCCATCATCAACTCTTACCATCATTACGGTTAATTCTCAACCTAAGTAAGAAAAGATGCCTTGAGATTCAAGGTTAAAATCATAATGTTAATTATATCTCATAAAAGCTCATTAAGGCAAATCCCAGCTTTGTTAGGCTTTATTCCCCCTCCCCTATCCCCTAATTACCACTGTTTTTTTTTTTCCTTTTTCTAAAAAAAGATCATTAAGAACAAGCTATACCAATTTTACAAAAACAAAAAGCTTTACAAATGTTAAATTCGATAACATTTTAATAATTCATAAAAAAACAGAGTGGAATGATTTAAATTAGAAATCTCTCAAATTTTTTACTAATCTCTCATTCATTCACCTACTACCCTAACATGCCAGAGACTACATAATAATTAAACACTTCAATTTTTCCAATTCAAAATGGTTGAATTAACAAAATGCCAGCTATTAACAAGGTTGGATGGCCCCCATCCCACTCATTCAGAGCTGGTGCTTTGCAAGTCTTGCCAATCTTTTGTGTCAAAACGCGATTCCGTGATTAAGATAGCCATAGCTAGCAACTGCATTGCATCATTCCCATATTGACAACATTTTAGAAAAGACTTGGACAAAAAAGGGGAGAAAACTTATTCTTCATTCAAGAAATAAAAGACAATACGGCAATAATTGAGAGGGTTGAATTGAGGTCGAAATTTCCTCAAATATTTAATCATGTCAAATCCACATTTTAATCAATGAAATTCAGCATTCGACTTTTCAGTCCATATCATTTTTCAAAAAGAAAAATATAAGGCTTACTAGGATTGATATGAAGGGTTAAATGGCTAACTAATGGTAAAATCGAAGTTAAACCAATTTTACCAATATCATGTAACTTTTCTATAGTGTGGGGACTTAAAACCCCTTGTATGTCACACAAGGGTAGCCCCCCATCATTTTCTGCCTTGGCCAACTCCTTGGCCTCCCTCCCCCCTCCCCAAGATTTCCACAGTTAAAAAATATGAATAATTAATAAATCATTTATTTTCTTCTTTTTTTTTTAGT